GTTTTCTGGAGCAACACGTGTATTATCAAATGGTATATAGGAAATAGCTTTTTCATCAAGTTTTTATACTCTCAGAAGTACTATTTAAGAGATATTTCAGCAATTATAGGTAATATGACCAAATGTTTAGGACTCAATATGTGTCCAAATCAACGTATATCAAATTTTGTTTAAAGTTACTTCAATAGAGTTTTGTTCGGTCTTGAATCGTGCATATCTAATAATAGTCACAATAGCTTTCTTCGTACCGAAAGCCTTAGAACTTTCACTAGTTTCTCAAATGTTGGCTTTTATGATATCTTTTATTGTTCAATACTGCTACTGAGGGCAAAGACTACCAATCGTTCAACTTTCTCAGAAATGGTGTGCCACCAAGCTTCATAAGTATACCGATTGATTATCCTCTGAATTGATGTGTGTCATGATCCAATCGGGAAATCAATGGCCAAAAAAAAGGGGAATTTTGTAATGAATACTTTTCGATTGAAAAAGTTTCTCTCTATTAAGAATAAGTTCATCATATTCTATTATTTAACATCAATGGATCTTTCGAAAATGGCAAAAAAGTTTTTCGCTTTCAGACCCTCCCCCTCCCCTGAAGGAGGATACGAGTATATGTGAAAATTTTAATTCTAATAAGAAACAAAACATATATTGAATCTAACAGATCTCTTCATACTTTAATCACATCCGGCTACTCAGAATCTAAATTTATAAGAAACAAAATAAATCAAAAACTAATCTTTGTAATAGTTCATTCCCGTACTCCTCTTCAGGGTTCTGAAAGCGAAAACTGTTTTTTTGCCATTTTCGAAAGATGCGTTTATGTTAAAGGGTAAGGCATAATGAATCTATTATTAATAGATAGACAATTTTTCACTCAAAAAGTATTTATCCCAAAATATGTGTACTTTTCTGTCCTTAGAAATCGAAAAATTGGTCTGTTTTAGAGGCATCAATTCACCGGTTCGACAATAACGTACTTCATTTCAGAGGATAATCAGTTGGTATACTTACAGAACATAGTGACACACAATTTTTTTTAAAGTTGCACGGTTAACCACTTACTCTCAGGAATAATATCGAACAATTTAAAACATCATAAAAGTCAAAAATTACGGAAACTAGTAAATATGCTAAGGTTTTGAGTACGAAGAAGGCTATTGAATAGCAATTTTCTATATACATTCGATGCGTGACGAGTTGCTCTAGAAAAAGATATAGGTGACTTTTCAAATGAAGAATGATCATCTTATCCAACAGGGTTCTTTTAATATATTTATATGATTTAGGTTTTTGGAAATTCGATTTATTCACCTAATCGAAATACATGGTATATTTTATATTTGTTCTTTGTGATTTTTATTAGTTTGAATTTTTCGTTTTGTTTTATAGGTTTACAAAACTTCAATTTCTTGATTTAACTCTTGCAACAATCTCGTCTGATTGCTTATTAAGTTTAATAAGTGCTTGTCGATCACTTCGAAAACTTAGTCTTGAAACATTATCATTGAATTTATCGATTTTCGAGTAAGTTTATATTATTTAAAAAATCGATAGTTAAGAAGATGATTAAGTTTCGTGTAATATTCATAAATAAGAAAATATTCTTGTTGAAGATTTTCTATCAACTATTGTATATAATAATCATATCGTATAATGAAAATTGCTTTGTTTCTGTACGAATTTTAAATTAATTTCTATGCATTTTATCAAAGAATATTTATTTTAATTTAGAAAATTATCACTAAATTCACAACTTGATACATTAAATCTAACTATGTGTACTGGTATTGATCTTGATTGTTGTTCAATATTAACCAGTCAAATGAAACAGTATTTAAACAAAAAAATAAATAAATAAATAATTGTTTGTAAATTTATTTTCTAGTTTACGTTATTTAAACTTGGGTTGGACACAATTAAGTGATCAATGTGTTCATTATATATGTCGAACAATTCAATCAAGTATTGAACAATTAACAATAACTGGTTTTCGGCAAGGAATGACTGATGAATGTATGAATTTTAGATTTAAAACATTATTTAATAGTTGTAAAATGAAAACTTTAACAAAACAATCTAAAATAACTGAAAACTACCCATGCGATTCAAATCGAACAAAAAAACGTCGGTATATTAGTAGTGTGGATTGCCGGTCAGAGAACAAGTATCGGTATACCGCGATAGAATGATGGTTAGGTAATTAAATGTCAAACCACCGCCGATTGATTGTCGGTATATTGTCCGGTTTAAGTCACATTAACATTCTACTGCGGTATAACAAAAGTTGTGTTCTCACTGGCAATGTACTGCAAGTGTACTGACGGTAGTGCGAACAAACGTGCGACATGGATAGAAAGAAGCAAGTTTATAAAACGAAAATTTATCTTATTTGATGCTTTCGACTAACAAAGGATTTTTTACAATGTCTAAGATGCAAAGAAAGATCAATAATAATGAAAAAGAGAAGAACACGAAAGTGTTTTATCTAGATTTTCTCTTTCGGAGAGATGATTTAAAACTTCGAAAAGTTGAACAACTATTTTTGAGAGCACAGGTACATGGTACAATACTCACAGTCTTTATGAGGATCGACTTCACCTTTGAAGGAGTGCCACCCGAAATGCATAATCTGCCCAAGTGCGTGAATACGTGTTCGAAGAAATTTTTCCTTTTTAAGACAGATTCTGTACGTCTGAATGCCGCTTCCTCAGTCTTCACATTAAATAATACACTGAAACATCAAAGTGAAGCTAAACGATTAATGAGTTAATGTCTAAGGTCAATGGTAGAATGATTTTAGATCCTTAAATTAATCATTGTTCATCACTCGAAGACAAAAAAAAAACGACATTCGTAGTAATCATTCTATTGCTTGTTAAATTCTATAAAATTGTTGTTTCTTAACTTTAGAAACTGTATAAAAAAATCTTTTTTAGGTGTTGAAAATTTAACACGTCGTGCTGTTCGTCTTCGTGTTCTTGATTTAAGTGATTCAAGTTTAATAACTGATAAATCAGTAACAAGTGTTCTACATAATTGTCTCTATTTAGAACATATAGCATTTTCACGTTGTTATGCTATAGCACCAATTGCTTATGCGTATGTATTTATTTAAATCAATATTATATATATATATATATAAAATCTTTATAATTAGATCATTAAAACAATTACGTCAACTTGTTTCATTGGATATATTTGGTGTTGTTGATGAACGTGGTTTACAAAAATTACATTCCTTACTTGGTTCATCTATTAATTTAAATCAACAGCGTTTTTCTTATGTTGCTCGACCAACTTATGGTTTACGTCGAACATCAATATGGGGATTACGAACACGTCCTTAAAGATTATTGAATGAATTTGTTTTCCAGTGTGTGTGTGTGTGTTTTGTAGTTGAATTTTAATTGAAATGAATTTGTTTCTTTCTTTTGTTTTTTCTTTTTTGTATAATAGTTCTTTTGTTTTTTTTATAGATAATGTCAACAACTTCAGATGTAAAACATGAAATTCCTGGTCAATGGCTGGTAATTAATTAAAATGGAATAGAGGATTTTTTTTTCTTTGTACCATTTTATTTTTGTAGATTAGACCATGTGAAGAATATAATGACGAATTAAATTATTGTCGCAGTTAATTCTTTTTTTTTTCTAAGTAACTATTCTTCTATTTTATTTTTATTGGATTAGGTTGGCGAGGTCGATTGTATCAACGATATATGTTAGGTCAAAAAAAAGATTGTACACCAATAGCTGAAGCATTACATAGTTGTATGTTTTGGTTACAACGAAAAGATGTTCAAGAATTAGTAAAATAAATTTCTGTTTCTTTTTTTTTTTTGTCGCAAAAATATCTTTTTTGTTTTCTTTGATTTAATAGAAAAAATTAATATCTTATGAAGAAGATCGTTTGATTCGACGTAAATTATCATCTGAAAATAATGATGTATGGCAAGTAAGAACTCAACCGCCAAGTGATTGGAATGCACCATTACCAGATTGGGCTCGTCAACGAGCAGAATCAATTGGAAAACAGAAACAAACATAGACAAAATAAATTTCTTTTCTTTTTTTGTGATCCGATGTTTGCTGTTTTTTGGTTTTCAAAACATGATAAGTTTAGATGTATGATAACAATATCACTTATTTGTATTACATTAATTGAAATTGTATGTTATTGTATTGAGTAAATTAGATATGAAGTTCAAAGATTTATATGAGTTATAGATTCTTGTTCGTTTTCTGATGTTTCAGAATCATTTGAAGGAATTATGATTAATTCTTTACTCTCTGATATTAATCTAGTAGAGTTATCGTTGAGTGGTCGAATGACAAATAGTCGCCGTGCGGAAAACTAGAATTGCTAAAAAAATTTTTATATTTTGTTATTTTATCTGTATAAAGCTGAAAATCTACTTCCCATGAATTATTTTTTGAAAAATGAGTCGTCGCATAGAATGATATGTAGTTAGACATGTGCAAAGGTAGCTATTTTCAGATTGAAGTTATGACTTTTATTTCCGAAATCTTTAGTATTCATGTTCTTTTTATAATATGGAAACGTTGGTTCGAAATCGCGCAGTCCTATCGTTGAGGTCTCACTGCCACAACGAAGATCGCAACAGAAGCCGCAAGTTCCTCTCTTTTATTGTTTAGAAATTATTTAACAATGGTGACCAACGAATTGATTGTATTCTCGAACATGTGCTTATGCTAGAATCTATACTTTACTCAATGATTTCATTGTAACTTTGTACATAGAATATATTCAATTAATTAAAAGTCTCATCAGTAAATTTCATATTCTATCATACCTTTACGACATCTATAAAATTAACTTTTCATTGGTTTATATAAAATAGTCAATCATAATAGAGGTAATTACCAAAATTACTTCGAAATAATTTTCCGTGTAAAGTATATATATGAATATATAATCTTTTCTTCTATTTAGATTTCGCTTTTGTTTTTCATTATTTAATCTGTTTCATTCTCATGGGCACAGATAATAAAACATTTGTACAACAACCATCGTCAAAAGTTACAGTTGTAATGTCAAAAAATGATAGAACGAAAAAATCAAAAAGTAGTTATAAATCTAAACATAATAATCAACGACGTTCATCATCAACATCATCCAATTCATCAACTGAACATGGACGTAATTCAACATCAAGAAAAAAACATGAGATTAATAATTCATCAGAAAAAAATTCCAAAAGTAAAATGAAACTTTCATCAACTGTTGAATTATGTAATAATAATAATAATAATAATGCGAAATCATCAAACGAAAATAAAAAACAATCAAATCGTTCTAAGCACAATTCATCAGAATCTCCATATCAACGAAATAATAATATAAAAAAATTACGAAGTCGATCAAAATCTCAATCATCTCGAAGTCGATCCAATGAAAGGTTAGTCATTTATTTAAACAATTATTTCTTTCATTAATAAATGCAATAATATGATGAAGTTTCAAGAGATAGGGACATATGACATTACAATATGATTTCATTATCTCTACTGATTATTGCAAATATTTCATTAGACATTTTTCTAAAAATATCAATATTAAAAGTGAGTGCTACAAAATTGAAGTCTTAAGTCCAAGAAAACTGGCATTATGACAATGCCATTTTACATAAGCCAGTAAAGCGAGATGAAAAACTATCGTGAAATTTAATGCAGAAATAATAACGAAAAGTTTAAAAACAATGTATTTTCAATTTTCTTTTTTTTGCTATAATGTTAAGCATCTAGCTCAAACTCAAATATTGATTTTAGTAGTCAATTGAATTTTCTATCTAATGCATTCTATACTAAGGCTTCATCAATGAACAATGATGAAACTTTAGTATAGAATGCATTAGGTAAAATACTTCATTAACTGTTAAAATCGTTATCTTGATTTGAGCTTAGTGCTTAATATTATAGAAAAAATATATTGTTTCTAAACTTTTTTCTACTATCCTAAATCATTTAATAATCTTTTCCAACTGTCGAAATGATTATCTTGCGTTTATTTTCATCGAAAATATAAACTGATAGTATTTCGAATGAGATTACTTTCAATTAAAGCAATTCTATCGTAGTTTTTCTACAACAAAAATAATTCGAATATCTTAAAATCAAAAAAGTTTTTATTGAATTAATCAGTTCCATTCTTTACATATGGTGTATGAGATTACAGGCAAAACTTACTAGAAAATATATCCAATTGTCGAACACCGTTTGATGCCATATTTTAGCTATGAGTAGTAGGGAGCTGCGGGTCCACCAAAAAATAAAAGGTTGGACTCGAACCCGCAGCTCTCTAATGAGTAGGAATCAGTGAAACAAGAAAAAAACCTTAAAAAGGTTCGAGCCTATGTAGAGTTGCAACCGTTTTAGTAAGCGTATGGTTTCTGGACTGGCTATGGATTGGAAAACTCAACCATGAGATTTTTACTCATAGATAAGTCTCACGATCACTAGAATATTCTAAAAATTTCAGCACAAACGAATGTGTAAATAGCTAGCCGAAAGGTTGAAAACCTACTAAAATCATCGTGAGCCTGTACCATTTTAGGATCTTTTTTTGTTTTCGTTTCATTTAGATCTCCACCTCGTCATCGTTATCCAAATCCATCGAGGTTACACAATCGAGGTGGTCGTATGCTTTATAATCCACCACCAATGATGACTAATTCGTCTATACGAAATAATAATAATAGTAATCGTCGTTCTAATGATAATAGTTCACCACAATTATTACTTGGTGGTTATCGCCCTCCTTTATCTAATTTTCATGATCATAATAGTTCAATAAATAATGCTACTTATCTACATAATGTTCATAATATGGCAAATATGATACAAAATATGAGTAATCTAATGCAGCAAAAACAAAAATCAAATTCAAATATGAAATATTCAAATGCAAATAATCCAAATAATCATTTTTATCAACAATTTCGAAATAATTATAAAAAATTAAAATCTGGAAAAAAAATAAGCAATTTATATCAAGCATCATTTCCTGCTCAACATATTCCACGTGAAATGAATTTTAATTTTCGTTTACTTGGACGAAATATATTTACAGCATCGGATGATGATGATGGTGATGAACATGAACATGATTCAACAACATCAGAAAAACATTCAAAACAAAAACAACAACATCATTCAACTTCACAATCATCTGATAGTTCTGAAGATGAACGTCGTGAAGAAGAAGAAGAAGCTACGGTTGCTGCTATTGCAGCTGGTAAATCAAAATCTTCACCTATACTTAAAAATTCTATTAAACAAAAACGTTCATCAACTAAATCTAATCGAAATCATACATCATCTTCAATAAAAACAATATCTAATCCACGTGAATTATTAACTAATTCAAACAATTTAAGTACATTACTTGCTGGTATTATACAAAGTGAAAATTCCGAAATAATTGCTAATACATTAGCCAGTGCAGCTGCTATTGTTAATAATAAACGAGAACGAACAAAAAAATATTTAGATAAAAAAGTACAAAAATTTAAAAACTATGCAAGACTTCAACAAACGCAAAGTATTGGAACTACAGATGCATCAACAACAAATCCGGATGAAATCAAAAAGAAAATTGATGGTCTTGCAAGACGATTAGTAAGTGTCCTATGTTTTTTTTTTTTCATATGATTGAATATTTTTGTTATAATTATCGATTAAAAAATTAACTAAATGTAGAAAGAAAGAAATTAGGCGCATAGAAGTTTTATCATTAGACAAAGAAGAATTATAACTGTCACAAGATTTAAAAGATTAGGAAAAATTAGCTAATATTCAATCAATTGATTGAATAAGACAAACGGAATCGGGACCTTCTTGCTCACATCTAAATCGAGCTATGCTAGATAAGAATCGAAATCTTCCTTTTTTAATATTATACAAGGATCGGTTGTTAGTTTATATCTAGTGGCGAAGTCAGAGAACGGCAGAAGAGAGCTGAGTGCCACTTAGGATTGTAACGATCTATTATTAATATTAAAAAAAATATACCCATTTTTAGCTTCAGACGAAGACTCACTCTCCGACTCCTAGAAGTTTTTCTCATTGCAACATTACTTAAATCTGTTAACTTTCAAATTCGAGTTAGTACACGTTTCATATTAGATTTTTTATGAAACACGATCTAAAAGAAATATTAAAGTATAGCAGTAAAAATCTCGACCCAGTCACCCTGCCCACAGACCGCGACAGACATTGTTGATGTACGATCAAAGACCAAATATTAGCAACATCTCGTTCTGATGTGTGAATTATTGTCAGATTTTGTTTTTAAAAATTCCAGCCACAATTTTTTGAATAATTTCTAATCGTTTATAGCTATCAAAGTCGAATTTTCGCCGTTGGATAGAGCAATGTTGGAGGCATCTAACTGCGTAACATTTATTAAGTTCGAAGAGTGTTATATTCGTTGTATAATTGTTCAACTTTTTCATCTTTACCTTGGACTCGTACTTCAAGAGAAGTGTTCTGAGATCTAGAAATTTTAAGGGTAAAGCGGTTGTCTTAGGGCTGCATTCTAGAGTTATTTGAGCAGAAGTTGCTACGAAAAGTTGTTGCAATGGACCAAAAAAACCAATTTCCGAACGTAATGAATGTTACACAGATAGATGCTTCCAACATAGCTCTAATCCGACTTCAATAGCTATAAATGATCGGAAGTTATTCAAAAAATGATGGTTGGCATTTAAAAACAAATCCGATCATAGTTTCTTATTGCATTTCTGATATGATAAAGAAATGTGTCTCAATAAAACTATCTTCCTACAATTAGCAATAGCAGCTACATCATGTTTTACATTTTAATTGCGCAAACAGTTTTTTTATTATTGTGTTGAGCACCTATCTGAATACCATTTATTTAAACAACTCATCGATTATATAATTATTTTTATTTAGCGAATGAAAACTGTTGGTTTACATGAAGATTATGAATTACAAGGTATGAAACATTCCGATGATTCAAGTGTAGATTCCGATACAAGTGAACGTCATCATCATCGTCGTCATTCATCAGATTCTCCTAGTGAACGTTCAAAAGATAAAGATATTGATAGTGATACAAGTACAAATCCTAAACGACAAGATAAACTTAAAAAATTAACTAAAAAAGTAAATTAATAATCGAAAAATAATTTTTTTTGAAATTATTTAAATATGTTTTTTTGTTCTTCTTTTCTTTAGAAAAATTCTTCTTCTAGTCAAATTATCGATTCAAGTGATGATGAACATCGTTCTGATGGTAATGATAGTGATGGAAGCATGCTTAATTTAAATGAAAATCTTAAACCTATTGGTTATTATATAAAAGATCGTGAACGTATGTTACATGAAATGTTTCGATGTATTCATGGTCATAAACTTCAAGCTATTCTACCGGATGTATTAAAGGTAATAGGATAAAATTTTCATTTTTTATTTATTTAAAAAAAAAAAAAAGAAGAAAAGTAGAATAATATAAAGAAAAAACAAAAATTTAGTTCGTCTGATAATCAATGCTTATTTTAGATTAATTTATATGATTTATTCATTGGTACAGTTACACAAGTATTATCGACGAAACTATATTATTTTTTAGAAAGATTTTTTAATAATAATAATAATATTTCTTTTTCTTTTAACTTTCACTCAATCATTATTATCCCCTATCTTTCAGATATAATTTTAAAATATTTTTTTTCTCTATTTATTGAATATTTTCAAGGTAAGGTTATTAAAAATGCAAATTCTTTTGGTTTTTCTGTTTTACAAGCTAATGAATTACTTTAAAAAACAAATAAATATTTATTTTATAGATTATTGAATTTTACTTTTTTATTTTAATATTCTTCTAGACACGTTCTATCGACGAAATAAAAGCAAGATGTCTCGATCAACTCGACATTTTATCAAAAAAACGTATTCGTACAATATTATTAGGTATTTTATCATATAGAAGAATATTGTTCATTTTAATAATATTTTATTATTCTTAGCACAACCAATGATTTCATCAAGTGGTACAGAAGATAGTACAGATGAAGATGAACAAAATACATTTACATGTAAGTTCTTGCGATGATGTTTTTATATTTCTTCACGTTAATCTGAAGATTATTTTTCTTGATGAAATTTATTTTTTGATTAATTTTTCTGAGCAAGATGATTAAGTCTTATTTTTTTTTTCTTTTTTAGTATATCCACATTTAAAATCATCATTAGATATAACAAATAATAATGCTGCAAATGTTACAACAACAGCAACATCTCCAATGGATGATAATACAAAGTATGTAATATTAAACAAAAGAATTCAGCATGTGATTGAAGTACATTTAAAAAAAACTCATTTATCGTCTTCAATATTTGTATTAAATTTTTTGATAAGATACAAGGCGATTTATAGTAGAAAGATCAATGTGATTATTATCTAGTGTATTTTTCAATAGATTGCTGTGATCTTTGTCAGATGATTTTTAAAATCGATTTTCGAGTTCAAACTTTGTATAAATAAAGTTTTCAATGATAGAAATTGATTGTAAAAATATCTGATTTATCAATATCTTCTATCCGAAGATAAATTTAAGAATAAAGTTTGTTGTTTTATATAATAGAATTTTCAATATTGATATTTCATGATAAAGGATACTAAAATTGATATTTTAATTTATGACTTTGTATAAAATAAAAAATATTTTTCTAATTGAAAATTTCAAATAATAATTTTTTCATTGAATTCATCTTTAGATCTTTACCAAATGGTAAATTTCGCCCAGTACAAATGTATACAGTTACAGAAAATTCTTCATCTTCAACAACAACAATTCATAATAATCTTTCAACTCCTGCTATTATCGGTGTTAATGAAGATGTCAATGATTATTATGAAGATTTTAAAAAAATTAAAAAATTAACAAATCTTCGTCGTAATGAACAAGATGATGAATTAATACCATTTCCTGATCAAACTGGTAAAATTTTACAACCAATTGGAATAAATTTACCAAAATTTGAATTTAAACCAATAACAAGTTTAACGCATAATAAACAAACACATTTTAATGCTCGTCGAATTGCTAATCGACAAAAACAACAACAACAACAACAACAAAATGAGATACGTCAAGAAATAGATGATTTACTTAATATTGATGATTTTGTTTTACCTAATGGTGAACGTCCATTATCATCAGTTGAATTATCAATAAATAAAGAATATCAATATGGTTTACCACCAAAAATACAACGAGTAGAACCACCAAAAAAAGGTTCATTAGGTGATTTACTTAAACGAAAAAAGACCGAAATCAATGAACGTAGTCCATCGCCAATAATTTCAAAACGAATACGACATAGACAACGTTCATATTCATTAAGTTCATCATCATCATCAGAACGAATGTCAAGGGTAAAAAATCTTGTTTTCTGATTTTTATTCAAATAAACTCTTTGTTTATTTTTTTTTACTTAGGATTCATTATGTGAAATGATTGAATCAAATACAAAAATCGATAATGATGAAATTGATATGAGTGATTTATCAAAATTACTTGATTTAAATGAAGAAGATGAATTATTATTATTACAAATTGAAGTTGAACAAGAAGAACGTAATTTACGTCGACAAGAAAAACGAAAACGTAAAGAAGAAAAAAAGACAAAGAAAAATAATTTAATCATTATTAAACAATGTTTAAATAATTTAATAGAAAAAATTCTTTTTCAAGAAAATAAGAAATTTAATTATAAACGACCATTTGATGATATTAATAATTTTGATGATATATTGAAAAAAATTAAAATTTGAAAACAAAACTTTGACCTAAAATTTTTTTTTTATTTGTTTTTTTTTTTCTGTTTTAAACTTTCGGTATTTGTTGTATTATATAGACACTTTTTTTCATAAATAAAAACAAGAAGAGTATAATGATTATTTTGAAAATATTCGTTAAATTTATCTTTCATATGATTCAAACAGAGCAAAAAACCACCAGTATGTCGACAATCAACCAATGATTGTTTGATACTCACACGGTCTGCCATATTCTGACTGCCATTCTATTGTGATATATCTATAATTGTTTCTCCAACCGGTAATCTACTGTCGGTATATCAGCAATAGAGCGAACAAACTGCCAACAAGGAAGATAATAATTTGTATAATAAAGAATAAAAGGAAAAATACACTAACTATCAACATTTATAACGCACAGATACATGGTACTTATGATTAAAAAAAAAATAATTAAGTCATTTGTTTTTACGACTTTCTCGCACTGAGTTGCTAATTATCAACCTGAATAATAAAGTACAAATGTATTACGATGTGTAGTTGTGAATTACATATTACTTGTTGTTCACTTTTCATATTTAATATGTGTGTTTGAACAATGATTGCTGACTTAAGGCCTCCTCCTCAAAGACAGTCACTTTTCGTTAGGATCATCAAAATTGAGATAAATCGATGGAAAAATAGCCCATGATATATTCTTTCATAAACGATAAAAATTTTTATTCGGCATCTCTTTTCTTTCCAAAAATTCTGGAAGATTTTTGTTACCTCCTATTCGAAAAACAAGCCATTTTTACAAAAAACCAAAAATCATTTTTCGTCGTTCTCAAAACGTGGGTTTAACGACGTAGCATCAGCAGAACTCTATCATAGTAAGAGATAATGTTAAATATGTTTTTTTTTGTTCGAAAACTTGTGTCTATGGCTAGCTTCTCTCCCTTTCGTAGCTCTTTTTTAAAATAAGCTTCTTTATTATCATATCAGAAAACATCGCTACAGAAACAGCGCCATTTTTTAAAGGATTTTGACGTACTCTTTCAAACAAACAAAAAAATAAATGTCTATAATGAAGGTCTACAGAGAAAAGTTGGAGAAACGGTTGAGCTATTTTTGAGCCTTGTTTGATGAATATCTTTGTTAAACACTGTGCTATAGGGCTGAAAATTTGACTATAGTCATCACTCACCAGTTTCAACATATCCTGAAAGTTTCGTAAAATTTGAATGTTTCTGACCTGAGATCGATTTTTGAGGAGAGCCTTAAGATGTGCGGGGATCAAGTTCTTTTTAATCCTGGTACTAACTCGATTCCGGTCTAGAGAAAACTATTCCAGAATTTATTCTTAACATATCTAAAAAAAACTGTTCAATACTCGTGTTTTGATTTATTTAATCGACAACTAGCACTTTTTGTGGATTATCTCTCTTGAATTATTCTCTGATTGATAAGATAATTAGCCTAAAATCATAGAATATTTAGTTGAAGCCTTTAATTCCAATTGGGACAACTTTTTCTCGTGCTCCCGCAAATCCTTATCGTTGACACATCATTTGACTAAAACTGAATTACTAGATTGATTCTCCCCTTAATCGATGAACATTCGAGAATGAATTTTCTAAATGACTAATTATGAAGATAAGTGACGACTTATCATCTTCTGTTAATTTAATGAATGCCAATCGAATTGAGAAGGGACGTAAATGAAAAATCATCGAATGAGACCGAATTGAAGTCTGTCCCTCTCAAAGTTGCTTGGTATAGTATCGATTCCTACCTATTTCAGCGATTGATAATATTTCTGATCACCGAATTTTTTTCAACATTCATTTCACAAATATTATTTCTCAATAAAATGTAGGCACTGCTTCACACAGATGACAACTTTACCCTCACACTGTGAGGTGCCCTACTGTCAATCAGACCGATTAGTTAAAGATGTTGTTGATCTGGATAAGAACCAAAGTATACTGTGCAAAGCAAACATGGATACTATAATAGGGTGTGGGTGAGGAGTTGTGTGTGTATTGCATAGATGTACCCAAGAAGAGATCATGAAAAACCACAACTCAAAAAATTTGATAATCGAAAGTAAATTTTCTCTGTATCAACACACACATATAATTATGAAAATCTAGTTGAGTTTGTGTCCAAATTCATATTAAGAAATATGAATATGATGATTTGCAGTATGAAATTTCGTCTATTATCTTGAAATGTATCAAAGAACACAGACTTTTAATAAATTGAAAAAAAGCTTTTAGCTCCTGTTGATCTATAACAGATTAAGCCAGCTGAACTTCACTTATATTGGCCTAAAAACAAAACAGTTTTCCGAAATGTTGTTCAAAAAGAAAATGCAGCAATTGATATTTTCTTGACAAATATTCCATCGTGTCCGTCAATGATAGGATAAAATTTTATAACTCAATCGAAAATAATAACGATTATGAGCGACAGTCATGTTCAAAAATTTCTCGTAAAAACTATGATCAATAACCATCGTACCTATTGAAATAAAAATGTAGTAGTTCCGAAATTGATATGTATAGTTTAATATATGTCGATTTTATCCGTATAATCAATGCAACCAGAAAGATTTTTTTTTTTTTATATACTTGCATAAAATTTCGATTGTTAAAATAATATTATTTTAAATTATACTGTAAAATTTTTTTATTTATTTTTTTTGTTTCATATTCAATATGTAAGAAAAACAAAATATGACATAAAAGAATTGTTCAAGATTAATCCTTACATATCGACAATCAAATTTATCTTGCTAATATTTGAAGTGTGTGTATTTGGATGTCACTTATCAAATTTGTATACGCAATGACAACAATTGTGATGTGCTTATATTTCAACTTGTCTGATTAATAAAACAAGTAAGTGTTCATGCCCAAGGGAATCATTTCGATAATCATATAATGAAAAGAACTAAAAGAAAAAAGGAACAATGCTTTCAAGTGGAAAGCACGTCATTTTTGATTGTCATATATTATCCTTAGGGTAAATCATGTGTTTATCAATTCGATTTAAATATTCAACACAAAAAAAAAAAAAAAGACAAAACAGGACAATATTTTCTTTTGTCTCTTGTAAATAACTTAATTCTATCTTTTCTCTATGTATTGATCTAATTAAGAAAAAGAAAAAATATTAAAAGTCAAAAATCGCCTACATATGTAGTAACATCATTATTTTGACAGAGGGGGAAGAAAAGTACACAGAAATTTTCTTTCTCCTCCCTCGCTCTCTCTTAGATCGGAAATGAGAGAGTATATAAATCTATTGAAACAGTTCATTTAACAATTGTTATCTTAGTTTTTTATGCATTTATTATATAATCATTACTTATGTTTGCTAAGAATAATTATCGAAAAGAAAACACGAAAAATAATAAATAGAATATATATTTATATATATAATCTTTGTGTTAACTTCTCATGAGAATTTATGATTGCGTGTATATACATATTTATATATATTGTTTTGTATAGTATTATTTCAGATTCGAGCTTCATTTATACATTCTTTATTAATTCATAATGATTTCCAATCCGATAATTTATACAATTCTATTTAGTATTGGTAAGTTAGAATAATATTATCAAAAAAAAAATAACTAGAAGAGAATTCGAATGATAAATGAATATCATTTAGTTATATCATCTAAACATTACTATTTTTTGTTTTTCAAGGTTTTCTTCTTTTAATTGATTCATTTCAAGCTACACCAATACATAATGATGATACATCAATCGATAAAACATATGATGAATATCTAGATGAAATAAGTCAATCAATTGAAAAACGTACTTTTAGCAACAGTGATATTCCAGATGGTTATGTTGGTATCATGTTGGGCAAACGTCGATTAGATGGACGTGCAGTTCGACTTCCAAGTGAAGCTGTTCTTCTTGGTAAACGACGTTTACCTCATGAAGCTGTGCTTTTAGGAAGACGTGATTTACCTAATGAAGCTATACTTTTAGGAAAACGTCGAATACCTTATGAAGCTGTGCTTTTAGGTAAACGAGATTTACCCAATGAAGCTATACTTTTAGGAAAACGTGATTTACCTAATGAAGCTATACTTTTGGGAAAACGAGATTTACCTAATGAAGCTGTGCTCTTAGGAAAACGTGATCTACCTAATGAAGGTATTCTTCTTGGAAAACGACGATAAATAATGAACAAATCCTCCTATTGAAACTTTATATTAAAAATAGCACATATATTCATACAGTGCTTATCTTTTTTGAATGTACTTTGAAAACCAAAATATTTGAAAATAAATCTTTGAAAAAAATATATATAATCAATTTTTTGAAATTAAATAATTACAAGATGCAATGAAACATTTTATTATATCACTCGAGATTAATACAGAGAGAGCATATATTTATTTGTTTTTTCGTTAAATTGATGAAATAGTTTCTAATGGCTATTACTAAATATATTGTTTGAAATATTCTGTACTAACAAGAAAATCTCTTCAGATGTCAAATCACTTTTCGATCAAGATGATGTTCATTTGATGAGTAATAGAAAAGTCTAGAATCGTTTGACTTTTCGGACCTTTGCTCTTGAGATCTCGAAATCCTATTGGATTAACTCATTCCTTTGATTCTCAATAGATAATGACTCTTATTTTTTTTCTTTTTTTGTTACATTAGAAGACTAATAAACTTGTTTATATAAAATATCTAATCGATTTACGGAAAAAAATAATAATCATTAAATTGAACTGTAAAATCATTTTCTAACTATAATTTGAATTTATTTTGAAAAATACTAACATAAAAACATACTACTCATAATTAGCACGTCTATATGATTTTGTTTAGAGTACATAGAACGATAGAGTAAAATTGAAAATAAATTTTATTGAATAATTTTAGTACTTAATAAATGATTCTTTATCAATTGAATGTAAAATAAAATAATACTTTTGAAATTCTATTGTTTAATTGAGAAAATACTTTTGTCATACACCGACTTAGATCGGCTGA